TGCTTTCTTTAGGGTTTAGGGGTTTAGGGATTAGGGTTTAGGGCTTAGTATTGAAAGCAAAGCTGGGCCTGATTTTTCGATGTGTCGCAGGCACATCCGAAGCCGACGGGGCAAGGCGATGCTGCGCTTTCCTTGCAGTCGCCTTGGAAGGTTTAGGGTTTAGGATTTAGGGTTGAAAGGGTTTAGGGTTTATAGGGCTTAGGATTTAAGGCTTTTAGGGTTTAGGGTCAAAGAAACATCCCAGATCTAATCGTAAAGTACGTCCCCGAATTCACTGCGCAAAAGATCTCAGCCAGGCAGTTGAATCGCACCCCTGAAATTAAGTTGTTCTGATTCAGCTCCCTCTTCAAAGGCATTGCTCTGCCGAGCCCTGGAGTCTGCAAAAAGAACACCAGAGAGCATAACGTCAGGGCCTATGCACCTGCGACTGCTGACTCACCAAGAGTGACACAAACAGAGCTCAATGTGAACATTCATGTACAAACCGCCCCGAACAGTCGGCATAATATAGTCTTGAAACCTCTAAACCCTAAAAAACGTAATTTCAAACCCTAGACCCTTAATCCTAAGCCCTAAACCCTTAAACCCTAAACCTTAAACCCTCAAACCCTAGACCTTAAATCCGAATCCTCTCTTAAGGCAAGTGGCTCGGTCCCATGCAAGTGTTGCCAGAGCAATCAGCTTCGCTGGAGCAGCTCTTCATCGATTTGGCAGAGACCTGCACACACGAAACAATGGTGCGAAATCTGGGGTCTAGCGGCTAGGACTAGGATCTGGGGCTTGGAGTAAAGGATTAAAGGAATTATTGGGGTTTGGGTGGGTTTTACAGGGCAGAATTAGATTAGGTGTATTATAGCGGTCCAGCAGGAATTGGTTAGGTCTTGTAACTACTACACGGATTGACGTAGGGGGTTTGAAAAAAGTAAGTAACAACATCCCGGTCCCGATTTAAATCTACGACAACAATATTCAGGGCATCGGAATGCAGGTATTTAAAGGCATACTCTGAGGTGCTTAGGACGTTAAGGGCCATGCTCTAACATTGACCTCCAGTGCACACACACCTGAGACATCTCCCCAGAAATCTTCCACCAGACATGCTGCATGAATGTAATTAGAGCAGGCGGTTTAGGGTTTAGGGTCAACCCTAAACCCTATAAACCCTAAACCCTGCCTTCATGTTGTCTGGCCGACTTTTCGAGAAGTAGTCAATCATCGCCTCCGGGGAAGCTTGGGTGCAGGCTGGGTGGTTCGATCTTGGAGCCTTCATAGTCTGAATAAGTTCTTGCGGTGTACTATATTAATACTCATAATCATGGTAATAACAACAATCACCATCATGATAATCACTATACGCAATAATAATAGAAATAATAATAGTAATCATCACATGCTGACAAGAAGGAACTCAAAGGAATGGGGCGGTGAATTACTCAGGGTCCTACGTTAGGCTTCAGGGTCTTGGTCCACACCAGGGTTTAGGGCTCAGGGTTCAAAGTTTAGGGGTTTAGGGTTTAGGGTTTAGGGCTTAGGGTTTAGGGTTTAGGGTTTAGGGTTTAGGGTTTAGGGCTTTGGTGCACGGTTCAGGGGTTAGGGCCCTCAATCCCTGAAGAGTCAACTAGGACCTTAAATCGGGACACTGATTGCTGCACCCTCAGCCTCAAATACATCAACCCTGAACCTTATAAGCTGTTACTAAACCCTAAACCCTAAACCCTAAACCCTAAAACCCTAAACCTTATAAGCTGGACCTACTCACCCACCGCTACTGTCCCGTCGAAGCTCCAAGATGAAATCTTCATCCGCAAACTCGGCCATCCCCAAACCCCAAACCCCAAAC